ATTCAAACAAACAATACTAAATGAATTTAAACTTCACGCCATCGCACAAGCAAGTGACTATCAGGACTCAGTGGCCGAGAGGATAACGCGGTGGCGTTTGAAGCGAAAGGTGCTGAGTTCGAGTCCTAGGGTGAACATCAACTCTGATGCAGGTACATCCAGCTGACGAGTCCCAAATAGGACGAAATGCGCGTCCTGGATTCTACTGCTAGCCACTATCCATCTCTGCTTACTATCCTTTTATTGACTCACCTGTCAACAAACTTAAATGATCATTTACCGGATGCGTGAATATACGTACATATACTCAGTAACTTGATAAATGTATGCTGAAATTGAAAATTTCCTAAAAATACTTAAATCAACCGCTTTTGAATAATTTATCTACCCAGTTGGTCAACTCTGTATCAATTCGCAGAAATATTCAACTTCTTATTTTTATAGATAAATTTGAATTTAATCGACAATTGATCACTAAATGAGAAAGTTATCGACACCAAATTTTCAAAAAGTCAAATCCTCAAAACTCAGTTTCACTTGTCTTTCATACCGATATCCTTGGACACATCAATCTCTCTTGTACCCCTACTTTGTCTCCAGAAAGCTTATTCAAACCCCATGAGCTACTCATAAGCAGTGTAAGCGTTAAAACCATCGAAAGTTATGACACGTGACGTGATTTATGGCAACATAACATTGGAATATACATGTAATCATTGTGGAGAATGTGTTAAGGTTAGACAAACTATAGATTAGCATAATTTATACAAACTAAAAATTTACTTAAGAACAATCCTTATAAGTAATGGCTTACTAATACCAAAGTGTAAATTCTTAATTTGTTTAGTATACGTTCAAACCTATGTGGGATCCACGGAGTGAAATAACCCACTACAATAAAAGGCTTATAGAGCACTAACTCATATCATATTGCACTGTTATTTTAATAGATTCATGACATGGTACCAGCTAACCTATTTAAATGACAATGTCTTAAAACAATTACACAGACTTTGTTTGCTCTATTTCCTAATTATTGAAGCCTAATTGGAAAATAATAAACGTGTTGGTTATTGCACGGCAGTATATTGCGCTTTTTTATGACGAGACAGTATTGTGATGAACATTAACATTCGACGACAAAGCCAAATCGTTGTATTATATAAAGTAACTTTATATAATTGGTTTCTTGAAAGTGTCAAGCCTAATTTTTCGAAAGTACATAACTATTCAAGTTAGATACATGATTGATTGTAAACAGAAAATCAAATTAAGGCGGTTATGAAACTTTTGTCCCCAAGGTTACCTTACACAATACCTCAAGCGAAGAATTGTGACTGTTGGTGTTTCAGGATTATGTTGTAGTTCAAAAACTACATATTTTTAGTGTTTGCTGAATCACCAACATTAGACTGATATTGCTAAATCACGTAATTTTTATAACAATTAACAAGGAAATGAATGTTTCTCTCATGTAACAACTGAATAAGTTTTGCCTTATAGAGCTGAGTACATCGAATTTTTGCACACCTGCAATGACTTGAGTTCAGAATATACATATGGAGTGAGTTCAATTACAAAGCAATTTTTTAGCGCAGCTGTCTCTCAAAGACGATTCATAAATGAAATGCTATCGCCGATGAAAAGGTATTTATGGGTAAAGAAAATTCTAGTTATCTGCAGAATACTACCAATCCAGATAGTTGTGTTCAGTAGGAATACATGCAACTTGCCTTACTTAGGCTTTCACACTGATTAATAATCCGATTCTAACTTAATACACCACCATTTACCGTGAAATGCTTCAGGATTTCAGGCTTTTACTTATGAACCAGGTAGTTATTTCAGCCAATACTTTGAAATTATCTTCAGTTACAACAATCTTTAGGCAAACATTTACGTATGATCATGATCTTCACAGATGTGTAGATCACTACTTATGTTAGTTATGCACACAGTTCCACAGTGAGTAAATCATCTCTCATACGTTTTCCCATATTGCGCAAGAGAACAATGTCTGTTAATAACTACCTTTGCAATCAAGGATTACGAATGTCGTTGAAAATATGACTAATGATATCTCCTTTACGAGCTTATGCCTCTATCTTGATTTGATGTAGTACGGCATCTATGAGCTTATGACTGTGAAGCTCTTATCCAATGTATTTAAGATTCATCTACACAAAAAAGATATTGGGTTAGCAGGAAATGCAGCCGCACCATCGAAAAGCACACAGGTATAAGTTATATACAACTTGTAATATATATATTATCTTTACATCGGCTACGCCTAATCGGTTAATCTAAAAACTATGCCATAGCTTGCCGGAATCTATTTACTAAGTTTTAAACACAACTAAAAACTAACATCATCCACTAAATGTTAATCCAACTCTGCTAGAGCTGTGAAAACATACATAAAGTAACAGTTCCATTAATCCAAATTCGCGAGGTCTATTAAGAACGTATAATTGAGTTTCCTGACAAGGTCATTAATTTTCCAACATTTTAAAAATATTGGAAAAGATTATCTCTAATTGTAGATAACCATTACACCTGCTTAGCGACAGAGACGACCGTGCCAGTGATATACGGCAGATTATTATCGTTTACATGGAATTTAATGAAAATTTCGTTGAATACAAAGACGATAGAAAAACATTTTCATGAAGGCATCGATAATTCTTAAGATAAAGGCGTACGAAAAAGGCAAAACTTTCCAGTTATCTTCATTACAATTGCAAAAGAACATTGTAAAAAAGGGAAACTTGTATCCGTTCAGTATGTGACTTGTATTTAATCACTTTTCTCTGATTGTCTAATCGGGAAATAGTCACTGATTTCATTTCGCTAAAACTTTAATATTACGAATAGTACTCGATATTATTAAGACAACAGATTCACCAATTACGAAAGGTGATATCTAAGAATACATTATCTATTCAATAAGGAAAGATATTTCTCTCGCTTCAAGCAATCAAAATAACAATCATTATCATTATGACTTACAAAAATAAGAGCAAAACAGAGTTATGGTCTTCGTAAACCAGAGTAACAAACCGTAAGAAAATGTGAATGATACTAAAGTAAGAAATCGACTGACTCTATAGAGAATACCAAATTTGAAGTGACCAAGTTTCACAATCTGTTTTAATTACGAAAGATTTCGTTTAGTGGACATTACAACCTTTACTTTTAAATCAAAACATAGTTTTACTAAGTAAAAAATAGTCAACTTTCTTAAATTACAGAAAATTGCATGATGCATTAGATTGCCATAAAATTTAATATCGATTAGAAAACTATTTGGCCAATGCTATTCATGATCCTAAACAATTTAGACTTGTCTAATTTAGGACTTTCATTTCAGCTTCTTGTAGAAAGCGATTTCCTCAGTATACAACCAACGAAACTCAAAACTCGACCTGAATTCCTAAATAATGTTACTGCTTCTCAACAAAAATATTTTCCAAAGAAATTGTTCGTTAATAAAATGTGGGGTTCCACACATCCAAAGCAACATGTTGAACGCACAAGATGTACTAGTATCACGCAGTTTCTCTATTTTTCTGATTATAGTTAGCTTCTTTTCGGCAAGCCAAAAGTGGTGCTGATATGTGTTATTTTCATAGGTGGAAACGTTTTCTATTCACAAATATTCGAGCTTTAGTTCGGTGATATTGAAGCAACTATACACAAAGGTTTAGGAAACAGTTAACTTTGAATTGGTGTGTGCTAAGCTGTATAATTGTTCGTAAATGTGCACACACACACTAATATCGTGCTCTTACTTTCTTTTCACTGAATCATCAAATACAGACGCCTAAAATTATATACGAATGCACAGCTTAAGTAAATGATTTCGTCGGAAAAAAATTTTCTTCGCTGAATTCTCTTTTTTATCCGAAAAATAGCCAAATCTCGAACAGACAGATGTATCAGGTAATAGTAATTAATAATTATACCATCTACGGTTCGATATATATTAAGAAAATCCCTAATAATCCATAGGATCAGTAAAACTAAACAAATCATTCATAACAAAACAATGATCACAACAACACAAAAAGGACACCGGAATTTAAAATTCTGAAAAAATTAACAGTGACAATGTTATGTTACTATCATTAAGATCTAGGTAGCACGAGGGTGAAATGTGGAATATGTATACTTATATTATCCACTGAATAGCTGAAAGCTATTTTGTGTTTATTATACTAAAACGAATTCGACCATGAATGATACAACGTATAGCCAGTTCATTAGAAAAAATCCCATAGTATTTGAATGGATACGTGCTAATATCGCCAACAATAAGGTGTTCTTATATTATATTAATCAATATTTACTCAGTCTAATAAACAATAAACTGAGGAAAATTAATATCCTGAAATATCAAAATTGACAATCAAAACTGCGAAATCATATGTATTTCCTGATAAGTGACTTCATTATTCAGATGTATAGAAGTACCTTGAAATTATAAATACAGACGGATTAATAAGTTCTCATACAGTGATATTTAATGTCAAGTATATTGAGTACTTTACTACTTATTCAGGCTCCAAAGGATAATAAATATAATGATGAACGTGAGCGTTCTTATAATGCGTTACACACGAAAACAAGTTAAAAAAAGGTGGGCGATAGTCACCATTGAGAAAGAAAAAATAATGACCTACGAAGAAGAAATTATTACAATAAGAGCAATTGTTATGAATAAATAAGTAATGAAATAATCGAAACAATTATTTGATGAATCGGCCAAAAAGACTGGACATAAATGGAATGAATAGACGTTCCCTCATTCGAACGGGAATACATTAATATTGAAGTTGGGAAAAGTTTAGAATGTGCATATACTAACATAGAGAAAAAACCACAAACAAATGTCAACCATATTATTACAATAATGATATATGAAACATGTTTTAACCGTTGATCAATGAACGGTTTGTTTACGCTACATAGTAATTTTTACTACAAATTTTAAAAATTAATTATTGAAGAAGGCTGCATCTCTGTTGAGTACTCTTTAATTGTAGAGGAAGAGGCGCCTAAAAAAGGGAAAAAATTATCAAAAACAAGAGTACTATTGTGAAATAACTGCGAAAACGCATGTTTATAATATCAAGCTATTAAAAAGTTAACAATGCAATAAAGATAAAATCGCTTCAAATGGGTAGATAGTGTTTTTGAAGAAAACATTGAAGACAACAACTATAATTGTAAGTAAACTTCCATCGATTACATATGTTCAAAGCTTTCATACTTTCTATCCTCATGTATACACACTAACAAAACTTAACATTAACCAATTTATGAAAATAGCATAGTTGACTCTAAACTTGAGAACGCAGTGAGGATGATGAGTTATTATCACGCTAAGGCCTAAGTGCTTCAAGCCAAGATACAACACTTATTACTGATGTGAATCCGCAGAGCAGAGCATCAGCTATGATTGTATAATGAGTTAGAAGTTTCTTATAGTTGAAGGTTTAGTTTGATACATCCAATTAACTATACAGATTATGAATTATTATTGTCATGCGAATTCGGTTTGGTACGTTACTTACCTAGGTGATTACAAGCCTTATTTTCAAGGTCGCTGACTATCAGAAAGCATAAAAGAAAATTAATATAAATGTTCCACGTGATATAGAAGCCCGAGTTATATCGCACTGAATCCATTCACACTGAAAATATCAGCAGCTTAAGAGTAACTAATTAAAACCCTAGTACAATCACATCAAAGTAACAAAGTAAATTCGGTTATTTAACAGATAGTGATATCTACAATAGAAAAGCCATGCAGCATATACTGATTTTCGTTACTGGTCCCATACATGACCACTTGTCGTCAAAAGTCATATTTGTTAGAATTTTAAAAAATAACAAGTTAACTTTTTGTACAATCCATCCAGCATTTACGTCGATTAACAAAGAATGAACGGAAATCACTGAAGTGAGACAATCGAAATAGAAATCGACAGAGAATTCAACCACATCAAATAGGATGCAAGAAAAAAGTTGAGGTTTTCGTGACCTCGTCAATTGCAAGCTATTTGACGTCGATATATATCAATAGCATGTTCCGTAGGTTCCCAAACACCAATAGAAAGAAAGTACTGAGTTTTAGAACGACATTAGCAAAATATTTACAATATTTAATAACATAGCAGCAGAAAATAAACTATTTAAGCAAATTTGTGATTTATAACATGGTCATAAACATGGGACTTTTGATTAAAAACCCACCTTATGCAGCCAATTATCAATAGTTGGAAATTTTGGCAGATAGATTAAACTTTAAAACAGGAAACCAGCACATGCCGGTTAAAGTAAAAATCACATAAGTAATAAACAGACAACAGTCTGATAACAAGTTTAGTGTATCACAATAGATTAAAATCATTTTAAAAAGATGGTCCGTTTGTTTGATAATACATTTGTGGGCCAGTAACTCCGAACATTCCAATTGGTGCGCCCGTTGGTGGGATTAAGGCTGCTGGCATAGATCCTGCTGGTCCCGGTAACATTAACTGAGGTTCAGTTCCTAAACAAAGACATAAAATATGTTAAAAACTTGGATTAGCAATAAAATTACTACCTTCAGTTGAGAACTGATTTTTGATTTTCTGTTATTATTTTAGTATATTTCTCCGTGGCGCAACCGGTTAGCGCGTTTGGCTGTTAACCGAAAGGTTGGTGGTTCGAGCCCAACCGGAGGCGGTGGCCACTTTTTGCCCCCAAATGCCCTGGTACGGCCGAGAGTGAGAGAGTCAGCTCTCCCTCTCAAAATGCTCTCGCATAACCACTCGTATATAGCCTCTGACAGGGAAGTCCTACTCACTGCCTTCTCGTGGAGGGGGTGTTGTTTACGAAATTGAGAGAACGAAAAGCGAATGTCCGGCGCTTTAACCGGGTTGATGGACAAGGAAAGTCCACCTAGGGGAGTCGGAAAACCCTGATTCCAAACCAATGGTGCACATGGGCTCCAGGATCTTGAAAGAACAAATGGTGTATGAAGCAATCGTTGGGCACCGGCTACCATGGGACCGCATCTCCTCACGATGCTCCACTGCCTTGTGGATCAGACCTTTAGGTCAAAGGCTCCAGGCGTGGTCCCCTAAGAAAATCACCTACTTTAGTTTAGGCACCCGGGCAGTATCACAGCCCTCACACAAATCAAATGAGGTTTGTGTGGCGCATATGTATCTGGTGCCCCTTTGTACCAATATTTATGTGTTTAAATAAATAAGTAAATAAGTAATATTAACTATAAAAGTTTACAGAACAACTTCAAGAAAAAACCTACGCATCACTAGCGGATTAACTGCCTGTTCAGCTTTCTCCTCTTCAGCAGCACGAGTTTGTTCAGAGCGTTCTAGACGATCCACCTGATTGAAAAATTAGTAAAGAAGTGAATTTTTGATTACTTATCTACACAGTGTTTTTATAAATACTACCACTTATTTCAATACTTCTTTTATCAATAATTCAACTGTTATGCCCCGATAACAATAGTGAATGGTAACTTTGGAATCCATTTATGGACGAATATTATGCATATAATATTTGTTATATATTTGCTAAATAATTAAATAACTCATATTCATGTTCCTTTCATTGTGAGCTTTATTTTGACCCTTGGACTATTATTGTACGATTTATCATTCCTGAGTTATACCCAGTCTATTAATTACTGCTCCCCCTATTCACAGCCACATTTGGCTAACTCTTGTACAAATGTTATTTTCCATTTTATTGGTACGATGTGGTCAGTCTGTTTGGTATATAAACTCAGTATGTTTGAAATACAATGATTCATACTGCAGAGGCTGTTATTGGTGTTCTGGCTTAACTGACTGGGCTAGGCAGAAGCATGATCGATAAGCACTCTAGACCGCTCGTACGGTTTTCGTGTGTCGCTGTTCCAATCGATAATTCGCTGATCTCTGATTGGCGGTCTTATCAAGTCATACATTAAATGGGCATCCACTCGGCTACAAGATATAACAGCAACAATGAAATAGACGCCATATAAAAGTGAATTTAAGAGACAACGGTTTTAACAATTGAAAGAAACAATAAACAAAACAAAGCAATCGAAATATAAGAAAACTTATCAATAGGCAGCATACTTTTGTTGTTAACTCTCTCAAAGTTTGAATTAAGAATGGCATAGCCATGTCAATAAGTCCATTGCGCCAAGCAAGTTCCAAGACAACATCTGGACGCAGGAGATCGTAACAACGGTAAAGACAAGCTGCGAAACAATCGGGTAGATTTTCGGAAAGGAACCAACGAAGCAATTCCTCAGCTGTCTCAGGATCCCGAGAATCCCAGGCATATTGCATGGCGTCCTAAAAATTAATATCGGGTACATAATCCACTACATATATCTGAAAGTAACTGATTCTAAAACAATACTGTGACAGCACAAATAAATTGCAACTCCGCGGGCTACTGCCGGTCCCAAGCCTGGGTAAAGGAGGAAGGTTGGGCGTTGGGTTAGCGACCCTATCCCGTAGAAAACCAACTCCCTAAAAAAGGCTTACCATAAAAAAGTATTCAATTCATGGAATGGACAACACTGTATACGATGACGTCATGGACTGGGAGAGAGGAACGAAAATGGTGACAGATTTGCAAACCTATATGCCTTCAATAAAATGGTCATAGGCAGCACTATATTCCCGCACAAACGCATTCACAAAACCACATGGACTTCACCGGATTACACTACACAGAACCAAATTGACCATATCTGCATCAACAAAACGTTCAGGAGGACGATGGAGGATGTGAGAACTAGGTGAGGAGCTGATATAGCATCAGATCATCCTTTGCATAAGTAAGTAAATACAGTAGTGGAAAATACTTATATTGAAAGCTGTCATAAAACCATCGAAAATGAATACGAATAATATGGACAATAAAACACAGAACAGGTATGTTGAACAAACAGCTCAGATATGATTCCGAGAGTTCATGTCGTAAATCAAAATAGTTTATAGCTAAGTGATTATAGAAGTATTCGGATCATTGAATTCGCGATTTATAAATTTTTATTTGCAAATATTTTAGTTTAAGACAACGGATTTAAAGTAAGACATCATAAATCTAATAGTTCATTAATACTAGTAAATCTAAACAACAGAACAGCCTTGTTATCGTAGCAAAGCAAGTAAATCAAGATCAGTACCACAAAATCGTCTAACTATCCACTTAGACTTTTGTAAGCTACAAAGTCTCACTATAAAACCTGAGGAAAAAATACATCACATGAGCTCTTAAAAAATAAACCCTCAATTCCAAAAGAAACTGTACTGGACGGAATGGTTAATTCGATATTATGAGTCATCATTGCAACTATCAAAGAAAATGAAGCATATCACGAAATGAACTTACAGAATACAACTGATCACGTTTACAAAGGTCGATACTTTGCATCCACCGATTACTACCTTTAAACAATAAAGCGGCAAGGCGACGAAACTCAATGAGTTCGTGACGCTCTAACTGTTGAGCCAACGCAATATGATCAAAGTTACTATGAGTTTCAATAGATTGCCTTAAAGCCTGAAAAGAAAGTAAAACTTAAAAATAACTTTAAAAAATACAGAGTTATGAAGCGAGTAGTAGTCCCAATTATAAAAACTTTTATATTTATTTATGCTGATAAATAACATGATAATTCGTAATCTTTTGATACAACTTATTTACCCAGTGATGGTTCGTATAATCAGATTAGACATAATTTTTGTGTTTAGTGATGTGCATGTAGTGATGCTAACGACTGCTAAAACAAAAGCACGTGTAGCGAGGTTAGGACCTGCGATCTATTGTTTGAAAGAAAAGAGCTTTTACGATAAAAGCATTGTTACATATGTAAATGTTAGGTTAATGAAGCAAATCCCATAGGGAAAAATCTTATTTTAAAATTACCTCCGAACCAGGCAACTAGTGATGAATATAACAGAGTAGATTGTTAACTAACAAAAAAGAAACCACCTAATATTAACGATAAACTTCGTAAATATGAAACACAAAACTTGCTTGATAGTCTTCTTCTTCGATTAACAAGTCGTTTAAAGCCTCGTTCACTGATTTATTATTTGCATTATTTTGTTGAACGAACCGCAAATAGGGTTTAACTAGAGCAATATGTCCTGCCTTGATGAAGAAATTTACTGCACGTGTATGATCCAAACGAGGTGATAAGACCATGAGTAAGTCATTTAGAAGCAGCGGTTTGTAAGTCAAGTAGAATTGGATAGCTTTATAATATAATTCTACGTTAGCAACTCGTGTTATTAAGTCTTTGAAATGATTCTCTCTCCATCCTTCAGTTGGATGACTCATCATTGTAAGAATCGCATTATCATACTCTTCATACTTATCATAAAGAAATACTAACTCTGACCATAAATGAGCTTGTTCAGCAGCACGAAGAACCTAAATCAAATAGAAATAGGGCAATTTACAGATATCAACAAATAACTATAAAATTAAATGACAAATAAAACAGTAAAACTTAATGAAATTGTATGTGCATTTGCCAAAAAGAATTGGTGTTGAACCCATTGTACGAGTAAAACATTTATCTCATAGATTAACAAAGTTAACGAGGACAATAATGTATTACAAATAAGTCAAATGATTTCACCGGAGTGTTAAAAAGACAAATATCAAAAGGAATTCATGAGTTACAAAAACGGATATAATAAACAAAAAAGCTGTAAACAAACAACATTTTCACACTGACCAACTGATACATCTACAAAACTAAAGTAAATGTGCCGGTTTATATTGACAAATGATTTCTGGGGTTTAAAACTATCGAATATATCACGACCTACGTTTAATAACCTGAACATAACCTGGCGACATCGAGAATGGTAGAAAACATTGTGTTTTCACCAACAACTCGTCGTCAAAATATATCCTCTTTCCTCTGAACACGAGTGTACGTACTTACCGTGTGATCACCTTTTGTAAAGTCGGGTATATTAGTTGGAGAAGCCCTGTTAATCCTGAACATAGCATCTATGATTTTAGAGTAGATATTATGAGGTATATATTGAGTTTAGACATAATGCTTCAGCTACTCATAAAATAACAAACAATTTACCAAAACTCACTTATTTTTAGAAATTTTTAATCTAATATTGATTTTATGTCGTTTATTTTCTACACATTATTGTTTTATAGGACATTTAACTCAGACCCATCTGTATATATCTGAACTCGCCAATTATATCCTGATTACTTCCACACTACTGACTGCAATTTCGATTAGCTTGTGATCCACGTTTCATGAATTTTAGCAACTGATAAGTATGAAACAGATACCTCCTTATCCATATAAAAAGTTATATAATTGTGATTGTAAAATTTCTAAGATGAAATACCCGGAAATACACTGAAATTACCTTTGGAATATTGACACGAGACCAGAAAAGCTCCAAATGTTCCCGCATTTTCTCCGGCTTAAACTTTGAATACAATATTGCCAGCTCAGTGAACATGCCCATATGTGCCCGTTCCAAACCTAAACCAGCTTCCAAAAGTTGAATAAGTTCATCAAAGTGACCGCGTTGTTCATAGTAATTAATAAGATCGCCTAATTCATCTGCATGTACAACAATATGTAGACCGCACATTTGAGCCAAACGAAATTCCTTGTGATTTACACAAGCGAAACATACTTCCTTCCAAGTGCGTGTTGAATTTGCTTTCCGAGCAGCATCCACAGATCCCTGATACTCACCTAAGTGAACCAAAGTTATTGCTAGGCGGGAATAGTTGCTAACGTTTGAATATAATATCTTAGCTGCCTCGTATAGTTGTTGGTCAAAACAACGATCGGCTACCTAAAATGTAAGAGAAACGTTGAATAAATTATCCACATACAAAAACCAGGTATATTGAGAATTTGAGATTCAAAGACTCGAAAGCACTAAGCATAATTCGACAAAAACTATACCAAGTGTACTACTAGAACTTAAAATAATGGAGTTGTTTTAAGAAAATACTAAAAGATGGTACTTACAACAGTTATATTGGCATGATTTGGCCCTGAAATGAACTCTTCGAGATCTGACAAACGATTAGTCCTTGCATAGGCGAAGGCAAGCTCTGACTCAATAAACGTCTCACGGGCTTTCTTACGTGCCATTTGGAGATAACGAACTAAATCTTCCCAATTTCCAGAGTTTGAAGCAGCTTCGGAGACCGCTTGGAATCGACTAGGATCAGACGCCTTCACGTATGAGTCGATGGCTTCTTTTATGGAACCTTGAGCTAACTGAGCATGTGCTAGAAGACTCCAAACAGCTGGCTCATTACAGCGTTCAGCAAATTCATAGGCCCTATCAAAATTTTTGACATGGTCAATCAAAACCTGGAAACAAACCAAGACAGTGAAAAATGATAGAGGATATAACGGTCATTTGTAAAAGAATAATGACGTTCATTTGTACAGGGTACGTTTAGATGAAAATCCGAAAACGAAATGTGGCTTAACTTTTGCATTATAAGAGAGGAATATGATTATGAACAATCAACAATATGGTGTTTTTAATCTAAATAAACTCACCTTTCAGGCACTTGTGTATTGCCCATACTCTAAATATCAAGGTCGATGATACTAAGCGAATTCAAGAACCGAAGTAGGTAAGGTGAGGTTCAAGCAACTTGGCTACTAAACCACTGACCCTTACATACTTAGGCCTGTTACGCCTCGTGGAGGAGTTCTTTCCCACAGTAGGCTGTTGCTGATGGTATTCGGCAAACGGATATTAAGTATCTTACGTAGTCAATTGTTTATAAATATCTGTACTTTTTCAATTATGGTTGTAGTAGTTCTCGAAGTTTCAGCTAGTCACAATAGAACTGTCTTGACATTCGTATTGAAGATTCTCACTTTGATACTGGCTGACTGTTGTTGAGTTTTATATGTGCTTCAATTGTAGAAATGCTAACCGTGCTTTACCAATCCTTGCCGGTATGTCTGCATCAGATCCTCCTTGTTCATCGGCGATGCTGACCAGGTACGTGAAAGTTTCCACCACCGACCCACTAACAATATAAAGGGTTCATAATTTGTTTCTTACGGATATCACCTTATAAAAAATTATTATTCCTTACTGAACTAAGAATGAATCTTAAAAGGTTATTAAGCAGTTTTTATCCGTTACCCTGAACACCTAACATTTGCTAACTGCTGTACAACATTGGACTTTATAATTGAGAGCTACTGGACACACGAAACATGACTCAGGTGAAGGAATCTAAATCCTCACTGCTTTGTACATAAGAAATCCTCTATTCAAGCTCCAAGAGTAGTCATATTAGTACACAACAGGTTGTTTCACCATAGACAATGATGAAACAACAAGGAACTCGGTCACAATCAAGATTGACTGCAGTATTGTCAGATTTGTATAGATAGGTTGTTTGACTAGACAACCAAACATCAAGATTCATTAGTCACATTGAAAGAATGGACACAATAATCACGTAAATTCGAACGTTTACATAAAGCTTAAAATGGAATAAGATGAATATCTAACCAGCATACATCGGTTCTACCATAAATAAACTATTTTAATTGCATACTCTGAAATTTAAGTTCGATAATAAGATACATAGGTCCAAAATAACGATGCGGATGATAGGCTTCAAGAAGTCTGCAATACGTTAAATCAATTTACCACTTCCACTAATAAAATACCTCTACATCAACAAAACATATCTACAAACACATAAAACACTTGCCTGAATAGCGGATGTGTTGACTTCAAATTTCTTGAAAATGGAAAATGCTTCTTCAAAAAGAGAATTATTTATGGCTATGTTAGCAACATCAGGAGCATCATAATTATCCAAGCGATTAATGTATTCCATGACACGACTTTTATCAGCCTTAATTGCAGTTAGGATTAAAAGGTTTTGAAGGTTGCGATGATCAGAAAATACTGAATTGTCCAGAACTATTTTCTCCAGAAGTTCAATCAGTTCATTCGGCATATCCGCAGCCATAAATGCTTTAACAGAAACGGATATCTCTTCAGGATCTTGGGTCTCAGAAAGTGCTGTTTGAACAACTTGATCAATTAATTGTCGACGGTAACTATTAGATTCACTTAAAGCTTCAGCCCATAGCTCCGGTTCTTTCCGTCTAACTAAGTAACGAGCTTCAGTTTTGAATAATGCGTTTTCATTACAAACCTAAAAAATAAAGTCGACTTATAAATCATGACAAGAAAATTTTATTCTAGGTAGATACAATATAAAACCATGAGGTTTCAAAAAAACGACGTACAAGTAGATTTAAAAATAAATTAAAATTAAAAATAATACATTATATGTATAACGTACTCTGATTAGATCTTGGTCACAATGCCCACGTTCATATGCAATACACGCTAAATGTGGATCACGCTTTTCACAGTATTTACCGACAACAGAGCTATTATAATACTGATTTTCTCTCAAGAAACGTTCAGGATTGTTGTTAAGGTCTATGTAAATCTTTGCTAGGGCATTATGTGTAGCAGGTTCGACAGATCCTTCATGTACACGTGACTCAAGCCATGGCAGTAATAACTTCAGCCGATTGCGCTTTTCCACTTCTGCAACAAGTTCATCAGTATTGAACTGACCTGGAAAAAAAATAAATAACGAGAGTATTATACTTTATTAACCACTTCTTGAGTTTACAAGTACGAAAAATTAGAAACGTACCACGAACAACTGCCATCAACTGCTTTATTATGTCCTCTGAACAATCAACATCTAAAAGGCCTCCAACAACTACCGGTAAACGGGCTGGATTAACTTTTTGCACATAAATCTCAATGTATTTCTGCAAATTATTACGAAACAAATAAAGGACGAGATCATGAACAAAATCGAAGCGATCGCAGACAATAATAAGAGGTAATTGGTCCGTAAGTTTTGCCTCCTGAAAAAAAAGTTTATGTTACATCATAAGAATAATAAAAGAAATCTGATTAATAATATTTTAACAGAGACTGGAATATTAACTAAAAGCATCAGTATTGACAGCAATTTTCAGTAGCCGCAACTGTTCATGCTTACTTTTTTGAAATGTAACTGTCAGACATTTAAAACTAATATGAAGGCTAGAAGTACAGTCCACACGAGAACTGGTTATTCTTATCACAGACCGCAGTTATGTATATTATTAGGAAATGCCTAACAAAAAATCACTCCGTAGACACGTCAAAATGTCTGTTTCTTCCATTTAACTTTTATCTAACTTTTAAAATGGTCGTACAAAACTTGTATAAAGAGTTCAAAGTGGATGTGCCAAAATATAAAATGGACGACCAAAACTCTCACATAATTCAGTTGACTGTTACTCTCTGTTTAATGTTAAAACGAAAGATTATTAGCACATAATAAGTAAATTCATCTTCACTATGTTTGAAAATCCTTAATTATAGTGAAAACCTAATTTAGTGGTTAGAGAAAAACCGGTTCATAGTATGATATATTCCGAATCAAAATCACCCGTTATTGGATGAATTTTAACTAAAAGATTGATACTTTGGAATTTAATGCAATGCTCATTAAACTTAGGATAAAAGCATATTCCTAATTATTTTAATTACAAATATATTTTCAAATATAACCGAGCGATTCTTTCTCAAAACTCCTGGGGTTGTGCAGTGATGATAAGATAAGCTTACGATCTTCTACATGCAATATCACTAGGAAAAATCCTTAGTGATGACAGTACATGTGTTTAGATAACTTGCAGACAACTGATGATTTAAACTTGTAACTATAATCGGCTAGTATATATGAAGTTGATTACCACAATTTTATACATATATAACGAATGCATGAGAATGAGTAATAAGATTATTACCTTAAGAAAATTTTTAACTCGTTCTGGTTCATAACAATTGCTTTCGCGACAAATCCGTTCAACTTCTTTGACTTGTCCGGTTTTACAGGCAGCTTGAATATATTTAAAATGAACTTCAGGTTCTTGACTAAAATTAACAATAGACCCCAAAAAGTAAAACAGGCCTTCAAATGATTTGAAGGATTCAAAAATTTCGATAAGCGCATTCGTCCCCAACTGTTCGTGATACTTAGTAGCAATCTGGACACAGACCTGGAGATTTTGTCTAATATTTGTCTGCAGCATAGCTCTCAAACACTCCAACGAGTCATCAACAGAAAGTGAGCCAAAATAATTGACAAGCCACTATAAAATTTGTAAGAAAGAAACAAAAAGACTAAAAACATTCCGGATGAAAATAAAACAAGTGAATGTTAACACAACATTTATTTACGAAAATTGGTTTAATACTTCTACAGATCAAAAAGAAAATCACTTAAACTTTCATGTACATTTGGAGGAACGATGAAATAAACTATACATTAGTAAAAATTGACAATAAATTAGTTCAGACGATTGTGTTCTAAAAGCAGTAACAAACACTGTACATTTACCATTTGGAAAAATTTTTACTGGGTTACACTGTCAGGCCTTAATATGACACTATGGTGGTCAGAAAAATGTTAGTGAACGATGGAAAGTACAAGAGAGGACCACAAAGTGATGCAAACAGTCAGATAAATACTCCCACCATTATGTACATCACAAGTTCTATTGAACACGAATAGTATACAAGAAGTTTAAAAACTTGCTCTACCAACTAGTAGTGCGCAAATGCGATGTGTGGAAGTAAAAATAGTGACTGTAAGTCTGAAAGACATTGGCATCTATGTAAATCATATAATTGCAAACATTCAAGTATCTGTCATTTGCCTAATAACTGTTACAAAGGCCACAAAAAATTCTTCGTAGAGTACACCACAAATAAAGGAAATTATGTCCAGTGAATTAACGGAGTGATTCATGAATCTACGAGGAATGTATATTCACTGTGCTTATGTACTGGAGAAGCTGATACTTTGGTAGTGAAAATCACAATGAGAAATTATAATTTATACCGCTATTTTCATCTAACTGAATATTGTTAACAACATTAGATCATTTTGACACTTGTACATAAACAAGGCAACAAAATTCAATGAAGACATGGAGAGCAAATATAGTCATACTGGTTTCATTTTAACCTGTCAGAAAATAAAGCACCGTAGATTAAATTAATATCCTTAGCTTGAATTAATCTTGTCGCGACCGATTATTGGTGAATAAACATAATTTAGTTTGGTACAGATAATGAAAGAACAGTCTGAATATTCAGATATAACTTTTGTATTGTCCCAAATCAGTTCGGTAAGATGGTTTTTTATCGATATGTAGAAATATCACATTTAAACTAGCATCTCAATAACCTTCAATTCATCAACAGAACAAAGCTGCACATTAAATAACTCACACTGAGAATATTTTAAAAAATAGCTATGGGCACTGGTGACTTAAATATAGTATAATAAAACCTTCCAAATCATCTTTAGATTTAGAAAACCTGGAAATATATCATTCCCCCTAAACTATCTTATTCAAAACCTTTGCTGTCTGGACACAGAAACATCTAAAAAGCTATTTGATTCCATAAGTATACAGTTTAGGCCTAGTTATCACTGAATTAAGTAAAGCATTTTGAAGGAAATACATATATACTATATTGATTTTAAAGGCTATTTAAACTCGGGATAAGTACATATTAAGATTACAAGCAAATCTACTCACCTCAGGATTTAACAAATGTGTACTTACGACAGCCCGTTTGATGTCGTAAAGATCAGTATAGTGCTCCAAAGCCCGCTGCAACAACCCTGCTTTCTCACACAACTGAGCAATAGCTGCCCGATCATAATGTGAAAACATTTGGTTGCCCAAAATTGCATCCGCAACCTAAAAGGTATCAAGACCGGTCACCATGTAGAACATATTTTCCGAACAAGTAAAAAGAAATTCTACATAAAGACAATCGAATAATAATCTCTTTAATACTTAACACTGTAATAGCCAATGCAAGTTTACTACTTCATTTATACCCTTGTTTAGTAAAATTAGAATAACTAGGGTCATTAGTTTTACAAAATATTATTATTCATCACGGTCAATTGAAATATAAACAAAATCATGAATTACGTACAATAAGCATTTCGTGTCTGGTCATCACAGTTATGTGATAATTTGCATAGAGCACGTATGTTCATTAACATAAATATCAAATTCAACCGAATCTTTAGCTAAGATATGCACTTCTCGCTCTGCTCGAGATTTGTGTAACGACACAAGCTCACAACATATTAATAAGGTTAGTTATAATGATATAAAATTGAGGATACTGTTCGACAATCAGACTTGTAAATACCTAGTACTAACAGCATTAGTAGTAGTAGAAAAGGTGTAGAAAAAAAAGGTATAAGGAGATTTAAGGACTAAGGGAAAAAGTGAATGTACGTGTTTCATTGAGGATGATCGCGAGCCATATCACTAAAAGTCTCAAATGATTGGTTACGATAGTCGTGAGGACACCGACCAGGTAGTCCGCATCTTACTACATGACTCAGTCCAACAGTCGATGATTTCATGAACTGGTGCCAAGTTTAGTCTTAATAATCACTAGCTTTCTTTTAATCTACTCCTATACCAGACGAAATCGCCCCTAGGTAGATGGTTGGGCATACGTAACATATGTCTCAACGACCCACGTCGATGGAGATTCACTAACTCATCAATCGATTTCCCATTTTTTCCTAGTGCTCTGAGTCTAACCTCGGGATTGCTTACATGGTGGTCCCGAAATACATAACCGATGCTTAAAAAACACCTGTGATCAAGAATTAGTAACCTATGAATATCCTCTGTTCTCAGTGAACACGCTTTATACTCATAAAGTAGGATAGAGGTGATCAGAAGATTCTATATTTTGCCAGTGCTAATAGAAAACTACATCTACATATTTTAGGTCAAGAAGAGAACCGCCTGATAAAATTTTAACACCTGAAAAGTTAGATGACGAGTTATCACTAAAATAAAGTCTAAGACAAGGTAAAATAAAAGTGAGGGAATTGGACGATTCGGAAGATCACTACTTGTAGTTATAATTTCCGATGAAAGTTTGCCACAACCTCTGACTCAATGAATACTGTTCGATTGGAAAGTCTATACAAGATTGATGTAATTCTGTAGTGTACCTTTTAATGAGACGCTGCCATAAAACATGTCGATCTACGGAACTAAACGCTGCCTTAAGATTTGAGAACAGAACTATGGTTGGGAGTCGGTAAGTATGGATTTGTTCATGAACCCGGAGAAGGGAGAATATTTGGTCTACACGTCAACACCCAGGTTTGCTCCAATTAAGCGTCGATTTATTATTGATTGAAGCTAATACTTTATTCAAACAATCCTTTGTAATCGTCACAAGATTTCTGTTCTTTCTTATAAACTACGACGATCAGCGATCGACACCAGTCAAATGGGGTTACGTTCAGTTTCCAGATTCTAGTTAAGATTTCAGTCAATCAAACAGAAAAGCCAACATCAAAGATTTCCAGGGTTAATCCATTTGGACCAGCTGCTCTCCCCGTTTTCGATTACCTATAGCATTCTTAACCTCATTAAGAGTTGAAGAACTTACATTATTTTCTTATTCAGGTTGCTTAGAGATAGGGGGGTAACTGAAAAATAGCTTGGGGCCAGTCGAACTGTTGGTTTAAATCTTCTGCCCATAACTAGAATCTCCTGAAATAAAAGTGAATAGCCTAACTAAAGGTCGGATTTGTAATACCTGTTTCCTTGATAAGTTTAAATAGTTGTCTACGATTACCTATTGCCTCCACCTTTTTTACATCTTGCTTTTGCAATACACCACTGCTAACGATCACTATGTAGATTTTTTAGCAGCCTATGTTCTGACTGCCTCCGTTTGTAGTCGTGTTTGGAGCCAAGTGAAGTGAGTTCCCGAGAATCTATCGGTTCACTAGACGCCACCGAAATCCAATGATGGTTCCTAACCCTTTGATTAATGGCAGATCTCACTGCTGTTGACAGCTGTTTGAATATCACGTCAAGCTACCTCGAAGCAGACGTGGCTTTAACGGTTGACTAACTGCTTTAGTTGTTTCTGATATATATTCTTGACTTTCCATCAAGTTGAGCTTTAAAGAACCTTTTTGCAGTGGCTTTTCTGCGTTTAGCAAAACTCAAGCAAACACCTGCATCCACTTGGGTATGATCGGAATAAAAACATTCTCCAACACAAGCAGTAGTCTTATGATGAGCCTCTCTTTGCTGGAGTTACAAAAAATCGATATTTGAAAAGGTATAAAACTACCTCAAAACAAAAATCTATCCATATTGACGTGACACACTAGTATCCTGTGCGGATAGAAGATGACAATGTGACTAGCAACAAACCGAATCCAAACATACACTGAAACGTGTAACTTACCTGAGGTGCTGACATCAGATTCATTTCTAATAAACGAGTTTGGAGATGTCCCTCAGAAGGTCGATTATGCTTTAATGCATCCAGTAAGAATGATGTACATTGCTGCACCAAACCTTGATCCATAAACACATTTACAACTTGTTCTAAATCAACTAAAGGTTCTTGATCCTGAACCAACATTTGGGCAAACTGCAAACCTTGGTCTGGGTTGATACGAGTTAGGTTGCGTAACAGAAAAATATAATCTGGTGTGTAGCCGACCTTCTTCGCATAAACGATGATTTTCTGAAACTGGCCAGTTTCAGCAAAACACTGTACGACCTTTGGTGGAACATTGGCCCTTAGGTAGACTGACAAAGCTAGTGTAGGATCCGCCTGTTAAAATAATAAAAGCTTATAACCATTATAAATGACTATAATATTATGTCTACTTAAAGTGACAAGTGAGGACCTGATATGATTGGCAAGCAACCCCGAAGTAACTTAAAATAAAAATAACTTTGATTTCTCATTTCCTCATAAGGAATGGCAGGTTGGAAGCATTATGAACACAAGTTACATACCTTTTCATTGTACATAAAAAAGAACCAACGTTTAGTCAACTTAGACTGTACTACTCCATGTTTAAAAAATTTGGATTCATGAGAGAGGTCAGAATGAAGCCAAAAGCCCAAAAATTATTAAATATCTAAAGAAAACACAGAAAGGGTAGGAAGATCATCATTATTGAGACATTCCATAAGTCTGTTTTAAAAGAGATGTATTCGTATCAAGCTGTGGTACTGATGGGTTTTAGATCGAAGCCAGAATTTTTTATTATGAATCTCGTGATTCTCATCCCAACTCATGAGTCAAAAACTATCGAAAGTGAAAACTTCACTACTTCGCTTACATAGCTTCAGTAATTTTTTCCAAACATTCAAACCCATATACTGGTGAAACAAATATGATGACGAATTGAACCAAAATTATTTTGAAGATCCGTAACCAGTGAAGACACTTGGAAACCCATTAACAACCAACTAGTAGGTAATAATTCTGTTTATGGATAACATAATTTTTTCAAAACTTTTTGCCGCAAGTTTTTGGTGCGCGTGACTCAATTAACTACGCACAGTAATTTTCTGAAATCGAGTAAACATTCAGAAAAATAAAAAAAAGGAAAATTACCTGCTTAACAAGATCTCCTAACTCCTCTGAACATTCTAATTTGTCCTCCTTCAACCATTTTTCCAACAACTGTTTCCTACCCTGTTGTAAAACTGGTCTACAAAGCTCCAGACTTTCGAACTTGTTAAGTTGACCTTGGTCAAGTAGAATTCCAAAATACTGCAACAGGGCTGATGCTTGCCCTGGTGCACTTGACACCTATAAGAATAAGAAACGTATTTCACATACTAGACGATTAAAATGAGATGAATTAAATCACGAGTTACTTCTCAAAATCCGATTTGAAATAAGCTTATTTGTTACTGGCCAGTATTCGTCCTCGTGAAATGAATTAATAAACTGCATTTCCAAGCAATCTGGTGAATAAGGGGTAAAGTTAATCCACCGCCCCCAATTGCCCTGGTACGGCCGAGGGTGGGGAGAGTCCGCTCTCCCTCTCCAAATGCTCTCACATGGCCAGCGAATATATAGCCTCCGCCAGGGAAGTCCTACTCAATGCCATCTCGTGGTGGGGGTGTTGTTTACGAAATTGAGAGGACGAAAAGCGAATGTCCGGCGCTTTAACCGGGTTGGTGGATATAGAGGATCCACCTAGAGGAGTTGGAAAACCCTGATTCCAAACCAATGGTGCACATGGGCTCCAGTATCCTGAAGGAACAAATGGCGTACGAATCAATCGTTGATCACCAGCTACCATGGGACTGCATCTCCTCACGATGCTCCACTACCTTGTGGACTAGACCTTCAGGTCAAAGGCTCGGGGAGTGGCCCCCTAAGAAAACCACCTGCTTCAGTCTGGGCACCTGGGCAGTATCACAGCCCTCAAGCAAATCGATTGAGATTTGTATGGCGCATATGTATCTGGTGCTTCCTTGTACCAATATTTATGTGTTTAAATAAATAAATAAATAAAAGTTAATCCATGGATGCTGTAATCAAAAATCAATAGTCTAGAACCTTGACTCATGTAGCGTTGGAAATACTATAAATGACTAAAAACTAATGGTGATATTGAGGGTCTTTCTAACCCTTGATTAGATGCATTGGCATTACCAGAGGATGTTGTCCATCGCGAATATTTCATTATTATACGTAAGATAAGAGATATTGTACCAAAATTTGCTTACGCTTTGTTATAAACCTACCTGTTGAAAACGTTGAATTGTCTGTGGAGTGCGCAAAATACCTTTAGGAGCATTAGCTGCTAACTTCGCAGCTTCGGGAAACTGACCGGATTGAAAAAGAGAATCGAATTTCTTGAAAAACAAATCTTCTGCACCAGGAAGATTGCATCTAGAAGCCATTTGGAGCGCAAGTGTGGGGTTTTCCAACGTAGTGGTTATGTAACTGATGATAGTATCTTCATCGATACTGACGGATAATACCTAAAACAAGAGTATGACAAATGCTGATGTGCAAACTTTCGGACATACACTCCAGATAAATTCAAAGTAGACGATGATTATACTGAGAAAACTGCCAGAACCATATCTTTACACGAGTTATCAGAAAATAAACGGAGACGCGTCGTAGAATTCAAAACGGACAGGTGTTATTTAATATTTAGGATTCGAATTAAGTACGAAACTACTCATATCTAGTATGATTTAATAAAAACACCCGCTGAATGGCATCGTGTAAAAAATATATATAATAGTGCTTTATTAGTTCTTTGATTCGGTTTTTAGCATGAACAATACATTGTCCTTTCTCATCCTTATTTTTTTACTTAGATATAAACAATGATACAATGACACCAAATATATATGCACCACACAAATAATTCGATTCGTGTGAGGGATGCAATACTGCCTTGGCGCTTAGACTCACTCGTAAAGTGGGACGTCAGTTGCTGGTATGGATTATGGTGTTTTATAGTACTGTCACGTAATGGTAGCGCGACAGCCTAACTTCACAAATATTCCTCCTTACATGGGAACAAGTAATTGATTAATCATCACTTGTTTTAATCAACCTTAGTATCAGTAAAGAGCCTGATACCGAACTTGCTAGGCACAATAACAGACGTACCAAAGCATGTTTGGAAACGGCATCTCTGAATAGTTCCAGTGATCTCCAAACTTTAACATTACACAATACTATCACTGGAAGTGGTCAATCATTGGTAAACGACGGACTAACATAAGGAGCATGAGAATCAGATCAATTTGGAGCTACACTTAAAGCACACACGACGAAGCAAACTACCCATTGGTCAGTCATACGCATACTGGTAGGTGTATTGCACACCGACTACATGTACACCATAATTAAAGCCCAAAAATCTAATGACGTAGAGACAGAAACTCCATACAGATGTTAGTAACTTGAGTTGGGTGGGAAGACTTGACAAGATTCGTATTTTCCCGTAGTTGATATTGAAAACCGGAATTGGTCAGTGCTCCCATGGTCGATGATTCATTCAATCTGTTGCTATATTCCACTAAAGAAGCGCCGAGGTTAGAAGTGGTTAATGAACATAAAAATTTCAGTCTGCACAGAACTGACGTAGGGACTAATATGCCTCAAACGATATTACTATTGTACTTCTAGATGGAATGATAAATGCTACGTAGGTATTTACGTGTAATGTTTTGTTTGATATAGATGAGTCAGTATTTATGGTGTGAGATACCCAACACGATATGAGACGATATCCATTGATAATCATTCATACTGATTGTCTAACAAGTCAACCTATAACAGCTAGCGATTAATTTACAGACACTGCATTTACACATAAACTGAGTTAATAGATCCAATGCTATTTATTTGGATTGGCAGGTCCGAGTCGTTTACACACTGTAGATGAACATTTAGAAAATCCCTACGTTAAAATTCCAGTTTTTAAAGAGTAGCGTCAATAGAGTCAAGTATCTAGCCATTACTACAAAACATTTACTAGTCACTAATAATAGCATAACCTGGCAGAAATATTGAATAAAGCATTTTACATGAGTACACAGAACAACTACTATGACAAGCCGGATTAATGGTCACAAATCACTTTTAAAGAGCAGTAATGTTAGAATAATAGGGAATGCGTAGGGGCACACAGAATCAAAACTGAACACAACATAAAAATGCCAGCTACAAATTTTACCTGCCCTTTCCTATTAACGCCAATGATACCGGAAGTTGGTTCGTAGGGAGCTGTTACGAAAATGGTATCGCTGCTTATCCGATTCATATATATACATGATCCACTTTCAATATCATAAAGGTGTAAGTACCCGCTTTTCGTTATCAAGTATATGATGCCATACTTTGACGAAGTCTAAAAGTGAAGAATGATGACGTCTTACATACCTGCATTGCAACAGGAAAGTCGATCTGAGCTTCTGGTGGGAAGTAAACATCAATGGCCTTCTTAGGAAATGGTTGGTTTCCTGCAGGTGGTTGACCAACTTCAATTATGTGTAATTTGCATGCTTGGGCATTTCGTGAGGCAAAACAAAACAATGTGGTGGGATTGGCATTTCCTTCAGGTATGTAACGAGCAAATGCAGCGGCATGGCCCTCTATCGCTTGACTAACTTTGCGCTCCACGCTATACAACTGCATATATCCAACAACTCGATTGTCCTGTGAAGTTATTCCGATAAGCAACAACCACTTCTGACTTGGGTCGCAACGATAGCTTATGATTTGACTAGATGCCAGAGATTGGTGACGATCAAACATTTTGACTGGATTTGAATCACCATCCATAGCCCAGTGATAAACACTAGTACCAGTCACGAGTGCGATGGTGTTCACGGATATCCACTTGCAAAATACAACATCTTCTGGCATGGTGTAGGTTTTCATCTTGCTTTTCAGCTCGATGTTGAAGATTTGTAACAACTTCCCAGCTTTTAATGCCATCACCTTACTTACGGGGTTCATTATTATAGTATCGGCAGAAATAGGACGACGGGTAGGGTTCATTGGATCATTCATATCAATAATTACAACCTGTGACGTCTCACCTGTCTTCTCTCTGACGCAAATAAACTTATCCGATTCCATTGTCAAAGTACTAAATCCTATGCTGCTAGGCTGAATTCCAATACTAACCAGCTATAACACATGGAGTATAGTTTAAGGTTTATCATAACACTAACCTGTAAATGTTCCTGAAACTTGATGGGCATCTGTGGGGAAGCCATAATTTTTAGTGTTAAAAACCAGGTGAAACGGAGAAAGAAATGTAGACGCCAGTTATCAGTTTGAAACAGTTAAACAAACGTTTTCAAGTCCAACACCATCTTAACAGTCAAACAGAATAAATGTCAATTGCCTTTAATTATCTTACAAAAATGGTTTTTTAATAAACTGTGCTTAATAAAGTGAAAGATAGTTATCTTATTTTCACCTATCAGTTGTTACGAAATCCGAGCGGATGACATTAGTTTTCAGGAGGCTGTCATTCAGCGATTTCTTGTACATACACTTTTCTCTTTATTTGAGAAAATGAATTCTCATCTATAAATATAACAACCCATTTCCTGAACTCAGACTCCGACATGATAAGTAACCAACGAAAACATAATTGTAAGTTCAGATTTGTTCTAAAGCAGTGTTGAAGAATCGTAATCGCTTTAATAACCAACATCGCATTGATCCTTAAGATTTGTCTCATAACACTCGACTCTCCATTCGACTATCTACTATATATGTTGAGGAATTTGAATTCAGCAAGTTTCTAGGGAACTTCACCTGTTGGTAGCGTTACTGTCGGTCACAAGCCCGAGTAAAAAAGAAGTGTTGGAGATGAGGTCATCCACTCCACCCCATAAAAAAACCATGCCCAAAACACTTACCAGAATAAGCAAACTAAACAATTTGAACTCCTCATTTGAACACTTCATTTTCAAGGATCTTCATTTGGAAGAATTATGAAAGTCGTAATTCCCCTGAAATCACAAGGCCAATGCTCCATATAACAACAAGAGCAACAATTAATATAGGTACATGGAATATCCTAGCAATATGGGAGACCGAGAGGACCGATCAGATATCTACGGAAATGATGTGATCGGACTTGAAGGTCCTCGGAATCAGTGAAAACAGTAAGACAGGTACTAAGTAGAAAGCATTAGATTCAAGAGAAATGCTGCTTTACTCTAGTCACGAAGCAGCACACACACCTTCCTATAGATGTCACTCCACCAACTATCGAATAAATCAGGGTGGCCATCAGACAAATCCAAGCTGGATCACAATGCAAGCTCGAAGTTGGAATACTGAAGGGAAAAGGCAAAGAGAAAGACCAAAGAACGTATTGCGCTGGGACTTGTAAGTCAACACCGAAAGGATGAATAGCACTTGGAAACAACTGGAAGGGATCGCCGAATATAGACCATCAAGTACTTGTCACAAAATGATTTACTCCTAGGCAACAAAGAGCACAAGCTCAGGAATTCGATAACACTGTTTTGTCACGACAAGCTTCTGCGGAAATCTTCCTGAGTATCCAGAGTATTTGGAATGTTTTCAGTTTAAAGCTTTATCATGATGATTTATAGTCAGCATTTCTACCTAAAGCTCGAATATAGGCTTTTTGAACCACAACTCCGGCATACGCTATCGTTAGGTACAAGACTAAAGTCAAATTGACTGCTTGTATCGCTCATATCAAAACCTTCATGAAATGCTATAAGCTTGGGAACCATTTTGATCCCGAAATAGAAAAATAAAAAACTCAGTGTATACGGTATTTATTCACCGTAAAAATGTTTACAAACTGATGTACACTATGGATGTTAAATAATAGACCCTTTCTTTAAATAGAGGCCAGAATAAAACTGAGAAGGATTTTGGAATTTTGAACCACTTGAATGTCGTGTAATAAATTGAATTTAGTCCTCAAAAATATCCGTTCTAAGTGATCGATTTTAAAGGTTCTGTCGTAACTTTTCAAAATTTACCTACAACGTAGTGCGGATAAGTTGTGTCATTAAACAGTACAGTGGTTTTTTTAAAACCCCATGGTTGTGATAACGCTTCAAAGGTCAAAAGAATCTGGAAATTGAGGTGAACTAATCGCGACTTAGTGGTCTTAAGTTATCAAACTTATTTTAAGAATTGAGGATCCTGGGTTTGGTTCGGCACAAAACCCCGAGGAGTCCTCAGAATGCGGAATCGGCTTCCAGGATATGGACATCAAAGCAGCAGTACTCAGACAGCAACTAACACCAAAAAACAGTGGTAGGTAGGTATTCAATAGCTGCATCAGTCATTAACGCTGATGTAGGGTTTAATTTGTCCAACTGACATACTACTAGAACTGTAAACGCGATACTGGCGATCCCAGAATCTATGTCAAAGCTATAGTCAGAACAAGGACAAAGTGGCTGTAAACTTTATCTGTTTCTAAACATGAAAACAATTAGATTAGTACAATAATTAAAGAATTACAGTCGCACACAAACGTACCGACCAGTACTACGTGTCTTATCGAAATTAATAAAATTTATGAGTCACGTTAATATAGTAGGATAATGATGTCATTCAATTGGTGAGTCACATGTAACAGTGACAGTTTACAGATACATCATACCAGATCAACGTGGTGGGAGCTTAAACAACGATTTGATTGGTTAGTTATGGACATAACTAACACCACCACCCCAAGCGGACAACACGTTTAGGCTTCACCATTGTCGCTTCCATATGGTTGGCTGCTTCAAATAGACATATGTTTCGTCTATTCTGGCTGACCTCTTCCGTCGCCGTCTTCAGTCGAACTGTTCTGGCTCTTCCATCTGGACCATAATTGACCTGTCTAACTATAGCTTTCGACTACAGATTTCTCGGTGAGCCAGTATTGTTTACCAACACCAAATCTCCGGGTTGTAGATTCTTTCTCATGTTCAACCACTCGGATCTCGCCCGAAGGTTTGGTAGGTACTCCCGTAAGCACCTATTCCGGAAAAAGTTGGTTAGTTGTTGAGCTCTCTTTCTTTTGCTGTTATATAAGCAGATTTTACTCATCTGTGCTTCTTCGAGTGATACACCTATGTGAACTAACAATAACTTATTTGATGAGAATACATCCAAAATATCACAGTCATTAACTAGCTTTACGAGTGGACGGTTGTTCATTATCCCTTCAACTTCCATTAAAAAACATTTCCAAAGACTCGTCCGTCAATACCTTTTGAAACAGTAGTGATTATAGAATCCCTCTTATTGACTTTATAATGCGTCCCCATATGCTGCCTCGATGACTAGCTCTAGGAAGGTTAAAACGCCTTTCACAGCCTCTTTCTAAAAAAGCATTTGCTAACTTGTTCTGATTCCAACTACACATAATCTGTCTAAGACTAGCATTGGCTTTTTTTAAATATATCAGAACCACCATTATTCTTATTCACAGCTCTCACGAATACGTCTTTCTCAACACCGTGTACGATACCACGGCAAATATGTACCGTCTGCTTCTTCAACGTCTTATTTACTGGCTTCTTTGTTAAAGTGACCTCTGGCTGCTTCGGTGTATTGACTTTCGGCCCGATGACTTTCCTTTTCTTAGGCTTTCTTAGAGTTGGTTTGGGATTATTATCAGATGATGCTTTGATTTTCAGCTTAGCAACCCTGGACTTAGCTAATAAAAAGGAACGATGAACTTGACAGGAGACATCTTCAAAAAGTGCATACACTACAACATTGTATGCAAATTCGGATGCATCGGGAAAGTAATGAATATTAGTAGCAAGTGGTTTGTACAATTCTGCTATAAGACATCTGGTAAGTAACGGTTTACTTAGACGCTTCATACCTCTGAGCCAACAGTTCCATCTTTTAAAGCACTCTCTAGGAAGCTCTGCGTCCCATGAAAGATTTTGCCGACAAGTATCTTGAAAAATTAACTTAGCTGGCAAAACAAATGGAACTATAAACCCATCTGGGTCGAACATAGATGCTAAATACGACAAAATGGTTTCCCTTGCAGGAGTTACATCGAACGCGCACACCCTGAAGAAGATCTTATCGGTTAGAACATTCCACTCTTTTCCTAGAGTCCTTTCATTTCTTTCCATCGATAAACAAATATCTACGTTCCTTTGTATATGATCTTCCTCTGGAATAAACTTCATTGATTCAACATTGTTGCTGGCCCACTTGGTTAGATTAAAACCCTCTAAACGTAACACTTCCTTCAGCTGAGAATATACTAACTTAGCTTCTTTTAACGTATCAACATTGGTTAATAAATCGTCAACATAGAACTGTTCCTTCACTGTCTGTATAATACGTTCAGGAAACCTAGCCTTGTTATCTAGGATGGTTCTTTGTAGAGCAAACGTTGTGCAACTTGGTGAGGAGGTCGCATCAAACAAATGTACTTTCATCCCATAGGTTTATAGTCCATCTTTATACTCTCGGAAAAATTGTGTCTTTTAAATGAGACCAGGATGCCATTTAATGCGCCGTTGGCACAGTCCTGTAAACCGCCGGCACAGCTAAAATGAAGATCCATACAAACGGTATGTAGTGATATGCAATTAAAGATTCATCTTTTTATTTTGGATCTATTAACTAAATATTCGTTGGAGCATAAGCGTAATGTGGGTAATCGGAAACAAAATACTTTAAATTCTTCGTTTGATATAAAAGCCAATACTCCTGTCAATAGAGAATACAGTGTTCTCCTGCGAAGACCTAAGGTTCTTTAAAGATCCTTCACTTTGTACCTTCGAAACGTTTTAAAGAGTAGGTTATCCATGACTTGTCACTGTGGTCTTTAAAGCCACCTCCTCTCATACTATGGGTTGTGCTAAATACATGGGATTATTTGCCATGTCTTGGGTATGCGTTTTGTTACCAAAGCCTGTACTGTGCGAAGAAATATATTATGCTGAAACTAGTGACCGTATTTTCAGCTGGATCAGATCATCTATCACAGATCAACACCAGCCTACAGAATTAAGTCCAATAAAGTTAGCTCCGAAGTTGCAGAAAGTTGTGTTCCATCCTACCTTCCATTCACAAAATAAATAACTGTAGGATCAAAACTAAGGTTTGGACTGAAGAATAACTTTCTAGTTAGTTTATATACGTGCTAGTGCCCAGTTGAAACCAAAACGAGGTGACCGGGTCAGTGACGGTTCTAGATTTCGTTATAAATATAGGTGTACATTATTGCCTAAACAAATATTTCCAC